TGCGTCCTTAATCATAGTATCGGTTTCAATATATTCAATTGATTTTAAGGGTGGACTTGATGCATGTTTGTTTGCATTTTTGGAATCTGTGTTTTCTTGCTTATTAAATTCCAATATATTATCTTTACACACATATTTTGCATCAGTTATAATATTTTCCACCTGACTAAAAATATAATCAAAACTATTCGTTTTAGAACCTTTAGTGGATATTCCTTTGCTAACCCCGCTAAAATTGTATGGATAATCAGAAGTGCAAGAACATGCTTGCCTTATCATGCCGTCAATTGCAACCCTATTTAAATGGTTTATTATATAAGGAAAATCAGAAGGACGCTTACAAGTATTTTTAAACAAAGTCTCAATTTCATCTGCTTTATATCGATCAATTATATTAAATTGATTATTTGTTATGTCTTTCACACGACTAAATATATAAGGGAAGTCTTCTTTAAGCATGCAAGATCTTTTAAACTTTGAATCTATTTCAGCATCTTTCAAGTGACTGAAAATATAAGTAAAATTGAAAGTACGCTTACAAGCATCATTAAACATAGCATCGATTTCTCGAGATTTATTATTAGTCGAAAAACTTTCTTCTCTTGCTTTACTAAAAACATATGAAAATCGAGGCGTATAAGAGCAGGCGTGTGTCAGCATATCGTCGATTGTATTACTTTTTAAACTACTAAATATGTAATAAAACGGAGTAATTCTAGTGCAACATTTATTTGCAAGGCCATCGGTATCCCTCACTTCAGTACAGTCTTCTGTATTTAAGGATTTTCCATAACTTTTTTTTATGACTTTGCTAAAAATGTACGGAAATTTTTTACGTACACAATTGTTTTGTGCACTGTCTTCGTCGGAATATGTTCTATTGTTTGATGGCATTATTTTGTTACATGTGTGAGGCATATTCACTACATATGTACAGTTATCCTTAAACTTCGTGTCTACTGTTGCACATTTTATATTATACTCTTCCTGATGTAAAGCCTGACTACTATGATTTTTGATATTTTGCGATGTTTTAACAATATCGGATGTATATGTATCCACTTCTTTTCCTGCTTTTGCAACTTGACTTGATATTTTACATGATTTTTTATTTATCATTTCCTGGCATGTCAGGTTAGAATCATTAAATGAGGGAATACTATTTCGTGATTCTTTAAAAACATGTCTTTTCGGCAAATCACAGAAATGGATTTTTATAGTTGATGTGTGAGGTAGTTTTGCTATGTTGATATTTTGCAGCTTCTCGCAACTTTCGTTTTTGAATATTAAATTAATGGTGACATCATCGGGAATGAAAGATGAAGTAACATCTAACATTACAGTTGCTTCGACATTAGCAGCAGATTTACAAGGTCGCAGTTGAGTCACATTCCACTGTTCACTGCCGCAAACTGGTTCTGATTTAGTATTTCCAAGTACACAAAAACCATTACAATTTTTATTCCTGATTTTTGTGTCATAGTTCTGACAATTACATTTTTGTGCACCTTTCTTGCTCAACTCTGTATCATCTCTAATTTGAGTGCCCGATTCACCTGAGCTATTTGAAATTATATTATTACCTATATTATTTTCATTAAAAAACTTTGATCTCATTGGATATGTTTTGTCCGTTTTTACAGTTATTATTTGTTTCTCCTGGCTGATTAATCTATCTTCTTTCTGTAATCGTAACACTTTTATTATCTCTTCATACTTTCTTTCATAATATCCTAACTTCTCACCAGTTTCTGATTTGATATTAAATACGCTATCATCAGAAACGGATAGTTTACTAGGTATTTCCATTGATATTGGTGATTTACAGTTAGAAGAAGTCATTTTTCCAGAAGGGGTTTTAATCTTTTTTTTACATATATTACAAACACTATTTCTGAGAATGTTTTCCAAAATGGTCTTAAGATCTAAGCACGTAGATAAAAATTTATCTTCACAAAACAAATCCTCATTCTGCTTGGGTAAATTATTTAATTCTTCTGTGTGTGAAATTATATCATCCTTGTATTGATTTGATGTTTTACTAGAACCTCGACATATTTTTTCGTCGCTTAATTTTTTTTTACAGACTTTTGTTAGTTCAGTATCAGAAGTACAGCAACAATAGTCTCCCACTATTTCCTCGTGTATTGATGCCAACCTTTCTTCATGCTTATATGTATAGTTATTCAAATTTAAATCATTTTTAATCTTTTTCGTTTTTAATTCTTTAAATCGCTTCAATCTAAAATGATCTTCCCTTTCTATTTCCTCTATTTCAGATACGATATATCGCGTACTCAGCAGAACTCGTGGAACTACCATCTTTGATAAAACATTACATTTCCTGTAAACATACTAACTACTTACCAATTCTATACATTTAATTCCTTTAAGATACTAAAAAGCCACCGAATGTCACCCTCCCTGTAAATTTCGATAAAATATTTTCATGCAGGGCAGTCTATATTTTATATAAGTATTTAATTTTGTAAAATAATAAATTTCATATTGGTTTTACTTTTGTAATCAAAATAGCAAACCCTAAAAGCTCGCTCTGAAAGAAAGCTTTATATAACTCCACAACCAAGAGCTATGCAAAATTTAAGTTAACTTAGTTTTAAAACTCGTAGAAAAAGCTTTATAAATAAAATTAAGTATAATTTCCCTAGTCTTCATCATTTATATATAAGAAGAAATTTCTATTTTTTTTTCATAGGAATATATTTGTTAGTATTTTGTCTGAAAAATGGACTTAATATCTCTAGATTTTATGTCTAATTATTCTTGAACCATCGAGTTTATTTTGTTGATCTATCTATTACGGCATTCATCATTATTTTCCTCTATCGGCAATTGAAATGATAATTCTTCACTTTCTTGATCTTGTTCAGTGTCCGAAATATTTCCAAAAGGATCATGTTTCTTTTTCCTTACTATTATTGACTCTATTATTTCATGCAATGTACCATCTTCGTTTGGAAATCGTTTAACTTTTAATGTTTTATAAACTTTACTTTCAAAATATCCAATATTGTTTTCTGAACAGTTCTCTTTAATATCACTTTGTAAATATTGCTTGTTGCAACAATTTTCTTCATTGTCTTCAATTATGACTTCAGAAGGTGATATAAACGTTTCATTCATATTTTTATCTCCTAGTGTACAAGAACATGTTATACTACACTGAGAATCAATGATACTAACTTCACCACATAGAACATTTTCACTATCGGTCTCCAAATTATTATTCTTTATAATTGCACACGAATCAATAAAATTATTTAAGCTTGTTTTTGTTGCGTCTAGTTCTAATTTATTTGGAGTCAATGTTACTGTGTTTTCTATGTTCATCATTAAATTATTTTTCACAGTTTTTTGATCTTTGGTAGCTTTATTGAGACCAATTTTAATAATTTCAGAAGCTTCAATAAATTCTTCAATATCTTTAGCGATGAAATCGTTAGTGATGGATTTTGCAAGATCTACTGTCTCATCAATTTTCGCCAATAATTTTTGCAATAAGTGTTCATTCGTCTCTTTTGTATTCATTTTACTATTTCTTTTTATTTCTGAAACTAAGTAAACGTTTAAATGTGAAATATTAAAATCATATTTTTTAATGCTGATAATTTTGTTTATTTCGTTTGGCGCCATTCTTTTCTGACTCAACGTATATGAGTTAATATTAACATTTAAAGAATCATACATTTTATTAAATATAATTTCGAAACCATTTTAAAAAAAATTGTAGTAAATATTAGAATAAAATTTTCCTCGTCTTTTTAATTTTTCACATAAATTAACTATATCTAAATATTTCTCCTTTAGTTCGATTACCTTATGATTACTGCTATTTTTTACATAGAAACAAAAAATATTGTTATTTATTGCATCTAAGACAACAGTATTTCGAGTACTTACATAAAAATACAAATCGCTACAATATTTCCCCGTTAGTGTGATTAAATTCAATAGAAATACGGTAGCTAAAATGCCATATATAAACCTGTTATTTTTTGACCATAAAAAAATGTTAAATTTAAAAGATAATATAAATTAATAAAAACGTCCATAAAAAAATTGTATTTAGCGCGATGACAACTTAAAAATTGTTTTTCATTATAATTGTTTTTCAAAATTCTATAATACTCACGCAATAGGCATTCTAAGTGAAATGAAATGACGTAAAAATTGTTTTCTTCCGTAAGATACGATTTTCTAAGGTGTTATTGTTCCTGTAAAAAATTAATACTCATTCATTTGACTTTCCACTACCAAATTCCACCCTTTTATTTTCTAAGGACTGTGAGAAAATTTAATGGAAATCTATTTATCCTATTTGCTTTTTTTATATTTTAATAGATAAAGAACTGTTTTATAATTAGTAGACAACAATGAAAAAGTATTTTAATATCGTGAAATTGACTACAGTTATCGAGTGTAAATTATTCTTTCTAAATTGTTTTGAAAATCATTTAAAATGCTATACATAGGACTTGTCTTATGATAAGAAACTTTGAATTTAATGTAATTTACTTTCATTTACTTTTATCATTTTCTTTTTAATAAATATATTTATTTAAAAAAAATTGAAACATCTGTCGAATAAAGACTACTTCTACTTCTGTGAGGATTATACTCGTATTGTTATCTACAGAATAATTTTTTCAACATTTATTATATTTTAATCTTTGAAATAGCGTTAAATTAAATGTACAAAAACATTTCATGATTACTACACTTCATATTTTAATTATCTCTCATTTTGATTGATTTGATGATTCAATGACGGTATAATCATCTGAGTTTGCAGAGTAAAGTAAATGATAATCTCTACAGTTTAAATGTACTTTTTCTAAATCAAAAGGAAAATTGGCAATACTATCATTTATCGACAAACTCTTATGCAGCAAAATTCGATTTTGATTCTTCGCCATAATTTAAATGGCATGACTAACATTTTGTTTATTGTAACTTGTATTTATTAATTTCCTTTTAATCTAATCGTTAAGAATACCACTATTTTTATTGTGAGATTGTGATATTTTTGATGACGGGCCAGGTAAGTCGTCATATGTAATATTAAAATTTTCGATGTCTTTTGAGTTGACTGAGTTATTAGAAGAAGAGAGTGGAATTAAATCCTGAGTTGTTGAATCCCTAATTTCTTTCTTAATTTTAATAGTTCTTTTCTCTTCTCTTATAGTTCCATCTTTATTTTTACTTCTAAATATTTTAGTTATTTCTTTAACATCAATCTCAAATGCACCCAATCTTAAATCTGTCTCCATAATATCAATCGATTGTCGTTTTTTACAACATGGTTCTAATTTTTTAAATATTTTTTCTGTTGAATCTTCTAAAGTTAATATTGATCTCGATTCGTGTACATTTTCAATTATTTCAGAGTTCAAAATTTCTTCTTGTATATTTTTTTTATCTTGCTCATTTGCTAGTTTACTTAAACAATTTTCACACATCTTACGATCTGATTGAGACGAGACTGGTTCTGAATTTAATCTTTCATCTAATTTATTTTGCAATTCTTGAGCTAAATTCAAGAATTCCTTTATATTTGGCACCTGAAAGGAGTTTTTATCTACGCTATTAATTACTCCTAAAATTTCGCTAATGTGTTCTTTTAAATCCGCCAGCTGCCTATTTTTTTTAATTTTATCATGATGTGTTGACGAACGAATGAGCTCTATTTCATTTAAAAAGTCCTTATCTAATACTTCTCCGCAAACAGCGCAATATTCATCTTCTTTAGGTACATGTTTAACAGTATTTTCTTTTTTCGTTCTCCTTCTCTTTACATCTAGAATAATCTTTCGTCTGTAAAATTCATCTCTGGCTAGCTCTTCCAGCGCATTAATAATATACGCGCAAGTAACTTTAATTTTTGGTACCACCAGCTTTCCTAACACGTTCGCTTTCCTGTAGTAAATAATGTTTCGTAGAAGGACAACAAGTTTTCTCTTGATACTACTGCCGATTCTTCCTCCTTAAGGACTGCACGGGCTAAAATTATGCATTATGCTGTCTAAATTTATTGGTTTCACAAAATCTTCATTTAAGTTATTTGGACTAGATACTGAATAAAGAATCTTTCGTGCGTGTTTTTAATTTCATAAAGAAAGCAAGTATACAAATTTATGCATATTTACAAACTATAAAATAAAGTTGTTATTTGAAAATGTACACAATTAACAAAACTAGTTAGCGCTAGCACCTACAAAATTTTAATATACGCTTATGTTCTGCTTTTACTTACTTCCTGTGTAAATAACCGAATGAAATTTATTAAAGTACAATTTCATAATTGTTACTACTATGTTTATGATTATGAAAATTCGGAAATGTTAGTTTTTTTTTTTAGAACCCGCCCAGTCCTTAGTGGGAAGGGTGGTCATCGGCAGCTTTATCAAAAAAATACAAACGTATTAACTAGACTAAGCTGTGGTGAGCAGTGGTAGCTCAGGGGCTAAAAACTAATGTGCAATAAATTGCACATGGGTAAAGAGTTTAAACACTGCTGTCACCAATGAAGTTATTAATTACAATTTTTAAGTGCTGAATAGCAATGCGCTAAGGAAAACATCGTGAGGAAACTTCCATGTTTGAGAAATAAAACATTTTGAAGATATGTGAACTCCGTGAACACGAACTGAAGCAGCGCGTCGAACTAACTACTCCATTATCCTCTCAAAAATGAGAATCCCGTACCTAGCAGTGAGTTAAAAGAGGCTATTACTTAAAAATATCAAATGAGCATAAAATTGATGATTTAGAATACAGTTACAGATATTTTTCTGACTGATTTCGAGAACAGAAATAAAATACGATTATTATCCGAAGCTGTAAATACACAGACAACTTACTCGTCATAACTTACAAGTATTCAACGTCATGCTTAACCTGTATGAAATGTTAAAAGCTGACAATCGGGGACATTCACAACAGAATGAGATCTAAATCAAACCAAACTGATACTTAGGAACTTATTCAAACATTGGAACCAAATCCAATACCTATGACGCCGTAGTCACGTTCATTCGCGTTCGATCTGTCAGTTGATGATATAGGTTTATCTCGAAAGACAAAGCTATAGGGATTGTTTTTTAATATACTGGGATACCCATTGAAAATATAGGAATTTACTAAAATTAGAATAGTATCTGTACCCGTTTATGGGTTATATTTGTATATTTTCGTGACAAGGAATATAATTAAATAACTGAAAAAGAATTACAAAGCTGATTTGAGATAATAGACAGAGAAATAAACATAAAGAGTTAGCGAATCTTTTGTACGCAAATGTATAACATAAAACATGTTTTTTTTTTCTATATAAGAACTAAGTACTGGTAACAAATGACCACACAGTCCACCTGATAGTAAGGATTCAAAATACAGATGCGTTGTCACCCTTATACACTACAATGGCTTGCCTTGCCATTACCTTAAAAAACTTCTCCGGTTCTCTACGCTTACCATACGAAACAGCAGCATTAAACGCTGATATTTTGTAAGAGCGTGGTTCTTGATCTTCGTTCTTCTTCTTCCTGATCTGTCCTTAAAAGTCTACAGCTATGTTGGATAAGCCTCTTCCGTTGCAGGGAGCATTTGTCTTATTCGTTAGGTTTGGGGTGACGTTCACAGTACCAGACAGAAATCTCAGAAACAGCTCATGGAAAAAAGTTTATAAATATAAATAAATTTACCGTTTGCTCAAAATGTGATCATAAATACGGCGTTTAGTGTTAATCAGTAGACACTGTTATAGTGCAAGCGGGAAAACGGTCAAAGACACATCGAATTATGTTTGTGTCAATAGAAAACGATACCCGTCGCTTTCCATACATTTGTTTATCGCTAACGCTCAGCAACGCGTTCAATGGTACGGGGTGCGGTGAGTGACGTGGTAATTCAGAGATAACAAACGAGTTTAAATATGTCGCACTAGGAAACTTCCTGAAAAGGGACAAAGCGTAGCTCACTAATTCCACTTTGGAATAAGCTTGCGTTTGTATAGTTTTGATTTAGGTCATATGTTATTGTTTTAATTTAGTGCTGCTGCTATAAATTGTGTTTTAATTTGTGTTTTCTTATTATTATACTTTTATTTAAAATAATTATCGATTTTCAAGATGGACCATCCACATCAAAACCATTTAAAGACTTTACATTTCCACGAAAGAAGCGCAAAATCTCATAGTTTGGAGTCCCGTTTTGCTGCCCTCCCTATAAACAGATTAAGACTGTTGTAGTAAATTGAGTAGAGTATTACGTTTTAATTTGACGCCACCGTTGCACAATGATTTAGCATTGAGTTGCGGCGTTGAAGATCCTGGTTTCGAATCCCACACGGAACAAGTATTTGTATGGCCTACAAATAATTGTTTCTATACCTAGACGGTCTAAATGTTTGTCCTTATGCAATTAATACGAGATTATAGTTGCACTACGAATGAGTCGGCTCGACCGCAGAAGGATCGTACTTTAACCGAATACCAGCGTAAAATAGCAGCTTAATGCTGCCGTGTTTCGTACCGTGAGTGTAAAGAACCGGAGACTCCTTTTACTGGAAACGAGGATTCCATTTTAGTCATCAGGGGTGACAAAGCATCTGCATTTTGATTCTAAATTGGGGATTGATGTAAATGTCACTTAGTGGAGTATCAGAACGTAGCGTCACGATTTCTGCGTTAGAATCTAAGAATTTAATAATTGTGCAAATAAGAAATTGTTTTCCGCGTCACGTGATTTAAAGTTGATATCTTGTAATTTTATTATTTTTTTAGCGTTAACTTGGCTAATCACTCAGTATCGCCAGCAACACTTCGATCAACGCGTGACGTCATAACGCTATCACCAAACTTTCTGCGCGCAGGTTGTACTTCGTAGGTAGGTTTAGACGAGTAAGTCTCTGTCTTAATACGTATATGGTATCACTATAATGTGTCAATTGCGAATACTTTAGCCGGGATCGAAATCAACCAAAAAAATATCAACACGCATTTTCCTTCGTATTTAGTAAAATTAAAATAAAAACTCACTTGTTCGCCGCTTTATACACTTCTTCGACCAGCTTAAAGTTGGTACGCAGCTCCACCATTAATATCATTCGTTTCAGCAGCTCCGTCCATGCCTGTTTCGCTTCCTGAATAGCTTGACCGCCCTTTTCTAAACCGAGGTGTTCATATGGATGTTTGTCGTCCTAAAATCAACAACAGTTAAATGAGAAGATCATCGGTACACTATTTTTTATTGTAGGAATTACATGCCCTAATTTCTCCCTCCCCTGCGCCTGGTATTCCGATGGTGGCATCGGATGTCGGCGGGTCTTCACCACTTCGTTGTCGATATTCCGCGCATGCAAACCAAACAGTTTACTCAGTTTTTCGTAATGCGTGCATCAAAGGAGTGAAATAATCCCGGCCGACTGCTGCCTTTCCGTCCGTATACAATTTGAGCGACTTCATGGCAGTGTCCACTACGTGAGATTTACCATCAGGGTGTCATCATCACTTACCACCAGGTGGGATTGTAGTCGAGCACTGGTATGTATAAGTACTTATACATACCATATTATATATTGTATAAGTATGTATAAGTAATTTTTTTTTTAATAGTTTGACACCTTTAGTCCGCCCATTAAGCGGATTATAGCGGTTTGAGTCCGTCCGAAGAGGAAAAAAAAAAGAAAAAGTGGACAGGTGTTAAATACCATAGCATATACAATTTTCGCATGTGCATATTGATTCGTAGTCGAGGATAGATTTAAATGTCTATGGGCCACCGAACCCACTCACCATCAGGTGGACCGTGTGCTCGTTTGTCACCCTTACCCTATTAAAAAAAGTTATATAAACAATAAATATAATTCATATCATATATATGAATTATCAAAATTGTAGTGTATGTTACATTTAGAAATGCCCATATATAAATTACCTACTCTTAGGCCCAAGTTTTATGATATTTCATGAGGCCTATGTTTTTCAGACTTTTTTCTATCCTGGAGGTAGTTCAGATACTAAAATTGCACAGGTACAAACATCCAGACCCGAATGCAAAGCCTATGGGATTATACAGGATAGTCGATAGTCTTACACCGCCACTACACAGTTAACTACCTACGTGGTAGAGCCATGCTGCAGCAGCTATATTACTGGTATAGTTGTAGCACGAATGGGTCGGCTCGACCGGGGAAGGACCACGCTCTCACAGAATACCAGCGTAAAATAGCAGCTTAACACTGCTGTGTTTTGTATGGTGAGTGTAGAGAACCGGTGACCCATTTTACTGGAAAAGAGGCATTCCATCTTAGACCTCACGGGTGACAACGCATCTGCATTTTGATTCGCAAACGAGGATAGATGTAGATGTCTATGGGTCACAGCAACCACTTACCATCAGGTAGACTGTGTGCTCGTTTGTCACCCTATCCTATTAAAAAAAAAACAAATATTAACGTAAACACAAATTAAAACTTACTTTAACAATTTCATATTTTTTTATTTTCACACCGGGCGCGATTTTTGTTGTACTAAACAAAGAAATATACGCCTGAAAAAATAAAAAAGATCTTAGTATAAGTTTAGCATTTCGTCATAGCATCATTTATAGGATAGCTTTAAAACAGGAAAGAGTTGGGCGCAAACAGAATGCGAAAATCCAGGCGGAATGTTGTTCCGAATGTTCGATTAAGCGACCTTTACATATCCTTGACTTTTAATTAATCACTCATACTTTTGACTTTATTGCCTGCCAAGCCGTAAAAAAACCTAAGTGTTGCCATCAAAGATTTAATTTGGTTGCTCAAGTGCCTACTGTGAAATTTAACCTCAACGTCATATTGGCTTGCGTGCAATAAAAACAATGATATCTTATCGGCGGATAGGTGTGTGTGCAATGCAAATTTAAGTTAGTAGAGAGCTGAACACTCGCATGGAATTTCAGATTATTTATTACATTTGCAATCAGAGTTGAAGAGCGCAATTTTTAATACCACGTGCTCGATGGTAAAGGAAATTAACGTGAGGAAATCCGTGTAAGACTTAAAAAGTTGCATTTTCCCCGAAACACTCTTAGAATTATGTGAGCCTGTGTCCCGTAGAAGGCTGAATAAATATTATTTAAAAGAAATTATTAACATCAATCGATAGAAAATCTCAAACGGATAGTCATTTTGAATAATTAATGTCATGGCTATCATGGCTGGCATGGATGTATAAATAAATAAAATTTTCATTATTAGAGATTTTGAAGAATTTATTTAATCGTCATATTATTTTAAAAAGGTGTTAAAAAAATAAATTATAAAATCAAGCTGGAAAGTAACGGACACAAAATGGCACCAAATTAAAGATCAATTATTTAGTCGAAGAATGTGAAATTATGTATAGCATTTCTACGTTTATAGGTTGACCATAGAGATGAAAATAAAATAAAATATTTATTTTAAGATAAGATTAATATTTAAAATTGGAGCAAAATTATATAATAATAATAATATTCATGTACAAGAACTGTATTGTATTTTCGTCGCACTAATCAACGCCTCCGTGGCGCAATCGGCTAGCGCGTTCGGCTGTTAACCGAAAGGTTGGTGGTTCGAGCCCACCCGGGGGCGAAGTTTTTGTTCCACAATATATCGCAACGTCTAAAACAAAATTGTCAAAGAACATTACGTATAGTAGTAGTATTTTAAACAATTCAATTGTGGGAATTTAATTCACAACTTTTTAAGAAGCGACATCATTACCATTTTGGTCAGAAATTATAAATATTTCAAATTGATACTTATTTCAACATCTATGTTAGAGATAAATTAGACACAGATTAACTTACATAACGAACATCTTTACAATTCTTGATCTATAACCAACTTCAACCTTTGTTGATCATACTATGAACTTCTTCGAATACAAATTACCACCTATTCAAAAACGTCACGACATCAATTCCTGCTGAGCCGGTTTTTTTAGAACAGGCTCCAGTCATTTTTCTCTGCATCTTCTCAGCTTTTGCGATTGCGCGTTTTTTTCTCTAAGTACGTTTTTGTAACGGAGAAATAAAGAAATGTAGTAAATGGACCGATTCTGGTAGATGTAGCCAGAAACCAGCGTCAAACTTGCGAGATGTTATAATATCGATAGTAGTACAGTAGTTGTGGTTAGTTTAGTTCGTTTTTCAAAATTATCCATGAAAATATCCACCATAAAGAGACTTATAGGGGACCCACAGCTAACCCTTCTTTTTGTAGATAAAAACGGTTATTAAACCGGAAATAGTTTTGTTTCATACAGAGAGAGAGGTTAAGTTAAGATCATTTGTTTCCCCGGGATGTGCCACATCCTTGTTATTGTTAAACCAATTGAGCCTTATTAGCTTTTTCTAAATTTCACAGTACGCAAGCAAATTTTTAACAGTAGTAGAGCCACGCGGCAGCTTTTGCTGTCGCACGGATGGGCCGGCTCGAACCGGGGTGGTACCACGACCTCACAGAAAACCAGCGTGAAGTAGAGATTTACCTCTGCGTTTCGCTTGGTGAGTGCAGGTGGCCGGAGGCCCTTTTTACTGGAAATGAGACATTCCATCTTAGTCCTCACGGGTGACAACGCATCTACATTTTGATTTGTAATAGAGGATAGATGTAGATGTCTATGGGCCGCAGCAACCACTTACCATCAGGTGGACTGTGTGCTCGTTTGTCACCCTTATTCTATAAAAAAAAACCCGGATTCAAACCCCACGCGCACCAAAATTTTCGTTAATTGCAATTTTAGATGCAGATTTATCACATGCTCGTCTTTATAAGAAAGCATCTTGAGGAAACCTGCATCGAGCAACAAAATATGTGGAGGATTACTGATAAAACATTTATTTACATACTTACCGTGGTAGGAACTCCTTCAGTGACCATTTTGTTTAGATTAGGATAAAAGTAGCGACATCTAGCCAATAACATATAAGCGTTTCGCATGTCTTCACTAAAACTCCGATAAACGCTAAACAGAACAAAATAGTTTCCAATAATTGAAAGAAATAATCCAAACATTTTAAGTACTTTATTGCAATTTTGCCTTATCTATGTATATTGTGGTACCAGCGACACTTTCTTAGTAAATAATATACCACGTTGCTTTTCATATTCTCACGTTGTCATCCGATTTTAACCTATATTCGAATTAATTTCAAGGCAGGTTTGTTCAAAATCATTTACTAAATTCGACTTGAACAAACATACAGGAAAGCTAGTTAATAAATACATGGTTACTTATTTTATCAAGTGAAGATGAGAAACTAGCAAACAGAACAACTGATCCAAATCGTTGCTGCTGCCCATAGATATCTGCGATGCTTTGTCACCCTTAAGGACTTCGGTGGATTGCCTCGCTGCCATAAAAAAGGGCCATCGTTCTCGTCACCTACCATTCGAAACACAGAGCAGCATTATTCTGCTATTTCATTAGCGTTATGCTGGTATCCTGTGCGAGTGTGGTTCTTCTCGGTATTTAAAGAACCACGGGCATTTATTGGTCCAGATACATATTAAAATAAAGATTCATTTCTATCTCTCTATTATATCAATAAAAGGTTACATATTACTCTTGAAAATTTTATTAACCTTTCAAGTTGTGTGGTGAAATGCCTCAACTCACTGCCAGTAGCCAATGCTGTCCATTTCATCAGTTTCTTGCCGAGATTCGCCAGATGGAGCCTGTTTTTCATCTGCTGCAACGCCACCAACGACGGCATACACGGGTAACGCGTGACGCCGAAAGTGTTCTCTTCGTCTTCTAAAAAATTTAAATTCAAGTACGTAATAATTATCAACATCATTACAGCCCTTCACAAGTCCACTGCCCTGAGTCACCTACCTTCATCGACATCCTGCATAACATACCAGGTCGTAACTCCATCGGGGGGCAGCCCTAAACATCGCTTACCGGGACAAAGCTGGCACTCGAGAACCTTTCTTTCCCATCGGTTGTTTGATCTTCGAGCTCGTGCTCGAAGCACGAAGAACGAGTACGTAATTAATATAAAATCATCCGCATCAACCCATAACTGCCCACAGCTGTATATGTGCCTTTTTTTATTTATTTAAACTTTTATTCATGAAAGAAAAATGACACATACTCGTATGGCGGACTTAATCTAGTCTAAACTAATAATGAGAAAAAAAAGTAACGAAATTCGAATAAACCAGAATATATATATATATATAGAAGATAATCTATACTGTATTAGCTTTTCATATCGCCTTTTACCTACGACAGATATCCTTTATCGACCAATGACTTTGCACGTATTATTTTACTCGTCGTCGCTGGACGATCGACTTAGTTAAACTATTATATGGCTTGCAATTATTCTGATTATAATTCGGAATATAAAATAAGTTAATATACGCGATAAAATCCGTAAAATTAGTTTTATTTAAATGTGTAGTGTTCGCGTAAATATAAGAAATCGTTATGTAAACCAGTACAGACTGGTAATTGCAAACAGACTTTGCGTATGTTTAGACCGCTAGAACAAAGCGGTAATTTCTCAATATTATAGCAACTACGTTTTGTGAAAAAATATTTATTGGAAAGATCAGAATAATTGCAGGTCATATAATAGTTTAACTAAGTCGATCGTCCAGCGACGACGAGTAAAATAATACGTGCAAAGTAATTTTCAAATCAAAGACAATGACTTTGCACGTAGTACGTAGTACTATGTTGATAGTAGTCTATCCCAACTGATGGTAAGTGGTGATACAGCCAAGATGGTAAAGTTTATGAATTGTCTTAACAAAAGCCTATTCGCTCTTGCCTTGCAAAATAAATTACATTTGCGCTTCTGTCTGTACTTCTTCTATGGCTACCGTATTGTAAGGCTTAGAGCACAAACTTTGAATTCCATATGTCATGTTAACTCGGGAGACGGCATGTCTCTCATGCATAAGGATGTCGATTTAATCCTGTATCACTGATTTGAATAACAAATCTTTGAATTTATGTATTGGACGTAACATGAACTACATCTATGGAATGATAGCCGTAGCTTATTATATATTACACTTTACGACATTTCACATAAACCATGGATATTTATATTAGAATCTTCCTCTTAGCTTAGTACACAATAGACATGCTACAATTTTGTCTTATCTCTGAGACCTTGATCCCCTCGTGAATTACAACCAAAGACATTTAAGTATATTTAAATCTCTTTGATTGCAACCAAGCACGGACCTGAGTCTAAAAGAGTACCAGCGTGAAATAGCAGGTTAATGCTGCTTTGTTTTATATGGTCAGTGTAGAGAATCTGAGATCATTTTTACTGGAAACGAGGCATTCCATCTCAATGAGAGCTAATAATCATACGGTCACCAGATGTCGCTAGATTGGACTAAGGTGAATTTATTTGTTACGCGATTGTCACACAGTGTCATCATCATTGAAAAGTTGCAATTTTATTTTAAGTTTTTCGGTTTCTAGGCTAAGTACATACACAATAATTTAAAATTTAAAATATTGTACAACCGACTTCAATACATATTATTAAGGATAACTCAAAAAGTATTGGTCAAACGTTGATGAAATGTATATGAGTCCACATGAGAAGCACCAGCTTTCAAAGAAAAAAGAATCGTCGAAATTGGTTCACGTAGAACAAAGTTATGAGGTAACACACATAAAAAAAACATACAGTCGAATTGAGTACCTCCTTCTTTTTGAAGTCGATAGAAAATAAGCCTCAATGCTGTCTTTTTTAATTTTTATACATTTTTAAATTTTATTTAAATCTTCTACTTTTAGGAATATCCTTAGCTTGGTTTAGCCATTTCTTATCAAATTAATATAAAATATATAATATTTTAGAAAGAAACATTGACCTTTACAGATTTCTTACTTACTTAACACATTAACTTGCTATGAAATCTGTCAAATATTTCACCTCATTCCCCGTGCCCGATGCCCATGAGGATGATAAATCATTCTCACGGGTGACAACTCATCTGAACTTTTATTCTTAATCGAGTATAGATTAAGATGTCTATGGGCCAAAGCATCCTTTCATCATCAGGTGGGCTGTGTGCTCGATCGTCACTCTCATCTATAAAAGAAGACTCACAGCACATCTCATCAAAATATGTCCATTTATTTAAAAGTCGCCCTACACTGCGCGTCCTAAATATGAGTATCATAATTATTATTACGGTCTCTCCCTAGTCCACGATTGAACATATACCACTGCAGATTGATTGCCACAAAGCAAGATTCTGAACCACTTGTAACACAGACTTCCATGCAGACACATCATGTTTTCACTAACTGAAAGGTCCTAATGCACTTGTCGGTATGATGCTTCAACTCGATAACCATTATTTCCCATTCGTTATCGGTTTTTTAGAGACATATAACAAGTATTATATTATTTAAACGGGATTGACCAACTCTTCTTCCGAACCTTACCTACTTTCGAAACGGCCTAGAGACGAGGCGAACTATTGACGAAGGAAAATGCAGCAAAAACGCTGAACTTAAATTTTATGGACTGATAATAGAATAGAATAAAATACTTCTTTATTCAATATAGATTATAAATAATTCTTATTGAAGTCATACTTTACTTTTATTGCTGGTTTTAAAAAACCTCATTCCAGGGAAGAACCAGCAAGAAAATTGGCGGGACATTTTTCCGAAGTGACATTTAGGGACATGAAGGTAAAATGGTCACCTTAAACTATGCCGCCCTATAAAACCAAAACTAGGAGGAAGAAAAAGACAAAAACACATAGTCGTATACTATAACTAATATATTTAAAGAAAATAGCAAACAAGCTTTGGCGATTATTAAGAAACACTGAAAAATCAACCTAAAAAAAAACTAACTACATTATACAATACTAAAATCGACTAAACTATTTACCATAATGCTATTTCTCGTAAGGAAAGCGAGCTCTGCCACCAGCCCGTATTTGATTCGGGAAATGGCCGCCCTCCGTGAGTGAACGGTGCATATTAACAAACACGCGGTGATCCGGATAGCGCTCTAAATTTGGATATCTTGCAAGAGGTTGCAGATGATCCAAGTATTTCTGTTCGTGGAATTGAAGAAAGAACGGGAATACCCAAAAGCACATCACATCGAGAGTTCAAAGTCTTCTCATGCTCATAGCAAACATGTCCACTATCCATCTCTCTCATCATTTTGCCGTAAAATTAAGAACCTACCAAGAGCTTGTGCGAATAAAAAACATTTGAACTGAGTAAAACGGGTTAGCTTAAATCGGGTTACTCGAGGTTTTTATTGTTTTACTACTTTTTTTTTGTATGAAAGTAACAAGTATTGTACCATTTTACAATCCTGATTAAATGCGCGAACTTGCCAAGGCACTTGCCAAGGCACTTTAGTAATTTTTTTTTAAAGGAGGGCCTTTCAAAGTCGACAAATTTTGAAAATTTTAGTTTCATAGTTTAACAAATAGTCTTAATTCTAGAAAACTTGGGGCAGTTGTGTCATTATTATTGACTGTGGTTCTAGAAATGTTATTTAGGGTTACGGTTCCAAAGTTTAAATGAACAAAAATAATAAAAATTAACCACAATAACCGAAAAATAATTACAGTTTGACCAAATTTCTAGGTTTTTCTTAAATGGCCATAATTTCCAAACTGCATGGGATAGATTTTTTTTCAGATTTTTCTCATGATGGTTACAATCAATCCTGTCACACCGTTTCGGCTTGACGTTGAGTTCTGGGACACCCTATATAAAGCAGCGCCCGTTTGATCTTTTATCATTTGATGGACTGATGAAGAGCTATCGCATCACAATGCCATCTATGCAAACAAGGCTGTAGTTTTTGAGTTATAAAAAAGTGACCATATTAACCGGATGAACATATTACCCTCACGTACTATATATAATAAAATGTAACACCTCAGGGGATTATCAAATAAGGAATAACTTGGTAAGCATAGACAAATCTTGCATGCATACTAGTGCATTGGAAAGGCCTACGTTCAACAGTGGATTTTACAGCGAGTTATTGATAAATCAAACAAATTTAAATATATTGCTACTACCTAAATATTTTTGATATAAATGCTATTTTGAATCTATATCTATAAATTATTTCATTCATTCTTCTATTACATTTAAATTCTACTGCTGAACATAGGGCTGCCCCATAGATTACGTCGTAAGGGTTGGCAACTGCAGCTTTTTTATTATTTTGAGTTGTATTAGAAAGATTCTGCTACCCATCTACTATTTCCCTTCCCTTCATTGATTTCACTTCCTTTGTTGGGACACACGGGATGATATGTGATAGTGGTTATTGAACACCGTTATTGCATAACAATATACTTGTATTATCTGAATCTACACATTAATTGAGTACAATCTTACCATTTTCATCTTTGAACATGTTCGGTTATTCGGTATTGATACAAATATGCCAGTTAATTACATTTTCCTGTAAGAATACATATTTTCTTTTTTATTAAAAACACCTATCAATTTTCGTAATGCATTTTGTACAGGTTCATTTTTATTCCTGTTCATTTAATGTTAGTGTCCTTTATCAATTTTCAATTCATGTATTTTTTTACATTTCATAATTTTGGATTATCATTATTTGTCTTTTTTTAAAAGATGTTTGGCATTTGACAGTTTGTTTTATTCTTCTGGCAGTAAATCGTCCAAATTAAAAGCATTTTCTTACAATAAATAGTAAATAGTTTTCATATCTAATATATAAAATTTAATATTTGTTTGTTCGTATTTTATGCGATGCCATACCATTCATCAGATTGCGGTAAAACTTTGTCAAATTATCGCTTGCACTTGCGCGAAGGTTATAGGCATAGTACAATTAACTTAGAGTAGGTGGCGCGCCGTTGCCGTGTAGTGGCGGTCAAGAATATCCACTACCCCATATCCTTCCGTGGGTGTCGTAAAAGGCGACAAAGTGAAACAGGCAGGAGATAGGCATCAGCATCTTCCTGATAATAGCCAAAATTACAATAAAAAAACTGCGGTTGCTAACCCGCTCGCCAAACATGGCAACTATGGCAAATACCCCCCAATGATTAGAGCAACAAACAGACGGCTCCCAGTCCCCGGCGACCCCGCTATTCCTGGCTACGGTGGCGACCATGGTAACGGCGGGGCAGGGGGTGCTAAGAATCTCCGGTGGAGGTTCGGTTGCCACCTTAGACGACTCGACCTGGCAACGTACAACGCACGCACCCTGAGGACTGACGAGAAGATCGTGGAGCTGGAAGAAGAGAAAGACAAGTTGCGCTGGCATATTATAGGATTATCCGAAGTCCGAAGAGAAGGGGAGGACACGGTAATCCTCGAATCCGGCAACTTGCTCTATCACCGGAAGGGCGACCATCTGTCCCAAGGAGGTGTCGGATTTATCGTCCACAAGTCTCTCGTTAACAACGTTGTAAAGATCGGGAATGTGTCGACGAGGGTTGCGTACCTTATACTGAGAATCACCAAACGGTATTCGCTGAAGGTCATAGAGGTTTACGCACCAACGGCACACCCCGATGAGGAGGTGGAGGAAATGTATGAGGATATCTCTAGAGCCATGCAATCCTCCAAAACCCAATATACGGTGTTAAGGACTTCAATGCAAAACTAGGCACAAGAGAGAACGGTGAGCTGAAAGTAGGGAAATTTGGAATAGGGCAACGGAACCCAAGGGGCCAGCAGCTGGCCGACTTCATGGAGAAAGAGGGACTCTTTATGATGAACTGTTTCTTCCACAAGCGGCCCTACAGGAAGTGAACCTGGTCGAGCCCCGACGGTTCGACAAAAAATGAGATTGACTTCATTATGACGACCAGACGACAACTGTTCAGTGATGTCTTCGTGATCGCGAGGGTGAAAACTGGTAGCGATCACCGAATGATTAGAGGCACACTGAAACTAAACGTTAAGTTGGAGAGGTCTCGTCTAATGAAGTCAACGCTCCGTCCCCCTCGTGCTCTGTTCCATAGTCCCGAAACCTTTCAGCTCGAGGTACGAGTACAAAACCGTTTTCAGTGCCTAGAAGACTGCAATGAAGTGGACGATATGAATGACAAGCTCGTGGAAACTGTCCATGCGGTCGGAGCTAAGTTCTGCAAGACCCGCCGCAGAAGAACACAAAAACTGTCCGATCACACTCTTAATCTCATGGCTGTTAGACGGGAGATGAAGCTACATTCTTCAACAGATTTGACAGCATACAGGCAACTGAATAGACAGATCTCCAAATGCATGCGGCGGGACTTACGCAACTTCAATACAGCTCGTATTGAAGAAGCGATCGAGCGGAATCAAGGCTCCAAAGTCTTTGCCAGAGATCTGTCTGCCAGAAAGAGCCAACTTTCAAAGCTGAAAACAGAATGTGGCAGCATCGTTTCCGGGGTACCTGAAATTTTGAGTGAGATTGAGAGGTTCTATGGGCAGCTGTACACGTCATCGTTGGAGCCACACGCAAGTGTGAGTAACGATCCAAGAGCGAGTCTTATCCGACACTATTCTGAAGATATCCCGGACGTCAGTCTGAGCGAGATTAGAATGGTTCTCCAGCACCTTAAAAACGGCCAGGCACCAGGCGAGGATGGAATTACAGCGGAGCTTCTGAAAGCGGGTGGACGACCGGCACTTGAAGTCCTTCAGAAGCTCTTTAATTCCGTCCTCCATGGTGGCATTACACCGGAGGCGTGGAGCAGAAGTGCGGTGGTCTTGTTCTTCAAGAAAGGTGACAACGCTCTCTTGAAGAACTACAGACCGATTTCCCTTCTGAGCCGCGTCTACGTGCTGTTTTCGAGAGTCATTACGAATCGTCTCGCGCGCAGACTTGACGACTTCCAGCCTCCCGAACAAGCCGGTTTCCGAAAGGACTTTAGCACCATAGACCACATACATACCCTTCGGCGAATTACACAGAAGTCCGAGGAGTACACAAAACAATGTCCATGTCACACCTATGCCGGTAGTTGTTGGGAGCACTAAGCTCGAAGTTGTTGACGAGTATGTTTACCTGGGACAAATAGTCCGACTAGGTAAGTCCAACTTCGACCGAAAGGTCAATCGACGGATTCAACTCGGCTGGGCAGCGTTCGGGAAGCTATGACACATCTTCTCGTCAGACATACCTCAATACCTTAAAACGAAATTGTACAACCAGTGCGTGTTGCCAGTGATGACTTACGAAACTGAGACGTGGTCCTTCACTGCTGGCCGTATGACGAAGCTCAAAGTCGCTCAGCGAGCTATGGAGAGGGTTATGCTCGGAGTTTCTCTGCGTGATAAAATTAGGAATGAGGATATCCGCAGTAGAACCAGAGTAACCGACATAGCCCAACGGATTAGTAAGCTGAAGTAGCAGTGGGCCGGCCATATAGCTCGAAGAACCGACAACCGATGGGGAAGAAAGGTTCTCGAGTGGCAGCCTCGTACCGGTAGACGAAGTGTAGGGCGACCCCCCACGAGATGGAGTGACGAACTGGCTCAGGACCGTGCTTTGTGGCATTCCTTAGGGGAGGCCTATGTTCAGTAGTTGACTTATGAAAGGCTGTAATGATGATGATGATGATGAGGTGGCGCGCGTATTGTACCAACAAATTTATTTGAAAGTCATATATCATTCAATTTCAATGAAAGTACTATCATTACTAATTAAACTATATAACTCTTACAAATTTAAAACGATATATCCACAATTATTTCTTCTGCGGCAGCAACGTGCCGGGTACCAGCTAAAGCACGGTCGCGGATTAGGATTTTCTTTATTGCTTTGCATTTTTAAACTTAATTCCCATCAGAAAAAGTTTTATTTCTATTGCAACTAAAATAGTTTTAGGACCTTTTGAACAGTATTTGTGATTCGAAAACCAAGTTTATTCTCAAGTAATTAAAGGCCACATTTGTATGAATTGCAATAATTATAAACTCTTCCTGCTCCGCGACCACGCCATAGTCTTAATTAATAAGTAATTAGGCTGTCCTATTCCAAGTTAGAAATGTCTTAGTTATCAAATAAAATAATGCTGTCTGTTTTTTAGTACTTCATTTGAATGACGTAAGCCACATGCGCCGATCTGCAGACTCGCTAACTTTGTTGACATCAAAATAATCATCACTTTATTTTAGCTGTGTTATAGAAGCTTTATACCATATGAATCAAGCATACGCCGTAATAAATTTAAAGTGACTGTAATTTTAATGCTAACGAATTAAGCGAATAGGCCTGCTAGACGCGTTGGAGCCCATATATATTTTATATGGCAACAAGTTGTGTAGAACTAAGAGTACATTAGGTTCACGGCACACTATGCGATCTAACTTAAAAACCTACCTACAGTAAAAAATGGCTTTTGTTATTTATTTTCTAATTTGACAAAATATAGGTTCATAGAGTATTGGTCTTTAAAAAAAACGATTTAAAGATCTTTTTATACGAGGTAGAGCCACGCTGCAGGCATATTATAGTTAGAATACGAAAGACCACGCTCTCACAAAATACCAGCTTGAAATGCCAGCTTAAATCTGCTGTGTTTCGTATTTCATTTCATCTTAGTCCTCAGGGGTGACAACGGATCTGTGCTTTAATTGGTTCGAGAATAGATGTAGATGTCTATGGGCCACAGCAAGCTATCCGGTGGACTATGTGATCGTTTTCCTCACTTATCCTATAAAAAGACGAACGTAGTATAAATCCGTGAAAATAGTGAATTCAAAATAGGCAATAGCAAAAATAAATTTACTCACTGTGTACTTGGAGTTCTGTACCACAGAAACGTCAAAGTGACGCGACGCATCGCAACGCGGCACATCAAAGAGTATAATAATATGCGGGAATATACGGCACAGTGTGTATGTACCTATCCCACCAAAAACATTCTGTAAAAAACTAGCCAAGTCTCGATGGAGCTGCTTGTTTATCTCTAAAAAGTAATGAAATCTAGACAAAGTCGTGCCAAGTCTAAGGTTCCTTACTGCGATTTCTTTATTATTATAGTTAATGTTGTGTGACTTGGCCGTTGAAGGGTACACAAGGGTACAAAACCAGGTGCTACATTGCATACACACCATTGCCCCAATCTGTCGCCAGAACCGCTACCCATTGACGATGGAAAATTGCCACTTGGGAAACGTTGATTGAATAACCAGTCAATTGTAAGCTTGATAAAGTTGCGTTTACACGTAATGTTGCACGCAATTATGTTTACACGTAATGTTATATCTGTTGCAGCTACCTATGTTTGTTAAGCGAGATAATAGCCCATAGTGGTATTGGTAATTGGACGCTAGTGTCTCATTTTAGACGGTTGTTGATTGTGCAACACATGCATTGACAATGCTGACTTCCGCTCTCTTCTTTTTGGAGCGTCAAATCGACCACCGATCTAACATAAAATA